GGCGATCTAAATTGCAAAAGTCCAAATTGGGGTGATACCTACGAAAATTCAAATGGTAAAGTTCTGCGGACCTGGTTAGATTAAAATTTAATTGAGGTAACAAGATTATCTGACACTTGCCCTTCATATCCAAATGCTTCGTCATTTCTGGATCATTTTCTTCTAAGCGCAAATTTGATTAATAGAAATGATCATATTATATCATATCTACAAAACCCACATTCTCTGATCATTTCCCAATTAAACTCGAAATCAAATTTGAAGGTCTAGATATCTATCTAACTTCACCTCAATATTTCACATCGTACAAAACCACCAATTGGCGCAACTTTCTCCGGTATTTGGACACTGTTTCGAATGAATTGATGCCTCCTATGACGTACATGAATTACATTCACAGAAAATCGAACTGAAGGATAAAAGCCTGACATACTCTGATAAAATCAGGAATTTTCTTAAAATCAAACATCAATGGCAACGAGATCTGAAAATAATCTTCCATCGATCAGGCAACAGGACAAGCCGTGAGTACTCCATTCTTTCTAATCAAATCCAATTATTAAAAATAATAATCAAAGAGCTGGTCCAAATGGAAAATGCTATCTTCAAAAATAGACTGGAAAAAATTAAACCTAGTCCGTCCGCATTTAGAGAAATTTCCCGATTCACTGGGAAAAAATGCTCCCCCTTTTGTCGTCAGTTTAAGCATAACAACAACACAATTACAAACAGCACAGAAAATTCCACTACATTACCAGCTGAAGACGAGTGCAGTTCTAGAGTGTCAGCTTGTTTTAATTCCACCTCTCCTCATATATATACAGGTTTGGAGATAATTTTAATGCGCTTCAAAATCCAGATTACGTTACACTTCGCCAGATTTGAAAATATAAAAAACATAATTTCCAACATTAATTCAAAGAAATCAAGTGGTCCAAATGGTATTTCAAACTTCATTATAAAGAAATTTCTAGAATCAACAGTCAACCTACTAACCTGCATTTTCAACAATTGTTTTAATAACGGGTATTTCCCAGCTCCATGGAAAAAAGCCAAAATCATACCAATCAGGAAGAAATCATGAAGTAATAATGTAGAAGACTTCTGTCCAATTTCTCTCTTGTCAAATATTGGAAACATTTTTGAACTAAATAATGAATTTATCCAATACCAAATTATCAATTTGGGTTCAAAACTGGACACTCTACTCAACATGCGCTTCTTAAATTCCATAGTGATATAACATCACATCTTAGAAGCCAATCATGCACCGTCGCCACCTCAATGGACATAGAAAAAGCTTTTGATTCCGTTTCTCACACCAGCATTTTGTTTAAACTTATTCAAGTGGGTGTTGATCCTTTTATAATAAAAATCATTCAAAGTTTCTTCACATCTCGCCAATTCTCCGTTCAAATTAGTGACTCGTCATCTTTGGGTTTGGCGAAAAGTGGGGTGCCTCAAGGAAGCACACTGGCGCCATACCTTTTTAACATATTTTTGCATGATTTTCCGCACACATTTCGACACTCTTAAGCTATTTTATATGCAGATGACTGCTTAATTTACGCCCATAATCCTTCAGTAAAATTGAAAATGATGAATGAAAAGTAAAAAATTGTATAGTTTTCCAAATTTTTATATGTGACATTTGAATTGAGAAAATATAAAAATGTATTAAAAAACAACAACATTTTCAGAAAAAAAATGAAAACATGAATGAAAAGTAAATAGGTATGGGTTCATACTATAGTCAGGAGAAAGAGAATTGTTTTTCTTTACATTTTTGGTGTAAAACAAGAAACAAAAAGTTTGAAATAAAAAACTCTGATGACATGAATTATGAATAGTGTTGTATGAGCGGGTTAATTCATATACGTAATTCTGAGAACGAACTACGTTGTTCGGATGCCCGTCAGAACATAGCATTGCATGGCTCCCATACAAAGGCCTTATAATTAGACTTTTCATTTTACCAAATAAACAACCTACCAGCATGCGATTATGAATCCTGTGGGTTTTACATGATTCCCGCCTAACGGCTTTAACCATGATGCACCATTGGGTGTCGAAATTGTGCGTCGACAAGCGTCCCATTGAGAAAGCTCAGAGTACTCAATGACCACTCTGAAGCCAATCCGCCGACACCAATTCGAAGATCCGCTGCAAAGCTTCACTTCCTCCTTGGTGAGGAGTCGACGCCTTTTTATGTGTCAAGCACCCGGTTGATGATGCAACTCCATATCGAGCTGAAGCTCTTCCAACGAAAAATGAAATAGCAACCAAATGTAGTACCGAAACATTTTTTTAGAAAAATTTAATGCACTCCACATGGTGCAGGGTATAAGAAGTTCTGATCGGCCGAACTTTAAGTTTTTTTAATTGTTTACAGATGTCCTGACATTTTTTAACATTTGAATATCAAACTCATATTGTAAAGCATAGGTACATTTTAATGCGTCAATGGAAACAATACCCCAGATTTTGACCAATTCCAGAAAAAAATAATAATGCTAAAAAAGGTGCTAGGTGCTTAACGAGTTTGAAAAGTGCTAAATTGGCAACACTGGTCACAAGAGACATTTGGGTATGAAGGGTTTTTTGTAAAGAAGCAATAAGTAGCTTCTGGGTAGAATATCCCAACAAAAAACTAAGGGAACTGATGAGGATCAGTGGCGAGATCCCTGCCTAACTTCTCGGTAGACAATACCATACATTCCCCACCAAAAATTAGTGGTTTTTATAAAAACAACAAACTAGGATTCAGCCTGACTATTTTGCAAAAACAAAATAAATATAATTTGTTGATAATGTGTTTGTTTGTTTACATTTTTCTGTCAAATGACGTTGACACTAGTATAACTTACAAACACAAATTTCCATGTGGTTGTGCATTATTTTAGGTTGTTTGCAAGGATCTCCATTGTGTGATTATGTTTGTTTTCCTCTTCTCGAAATGCCTTAAATTGATGTAGACCACATATAGGACACTCTGTGTAGACACATCCTGTACACTGGAGATTCTGAAAAGGGAAACTTTTCATTTGGCTGTTTTCCTCATAAGGACTCTTTTGTACATCGGAAGAAGCCCCTCCAACTGCGCCTACTCCATCTGCAGCTGTCTGAGGTTTATTTTTTCCTCCAAACAAGCATTTCTCAATGGATTCATTAGCATCATCTTCATCCTCCTGACCATTATATTCTCCCTCGTATCCAGTGTCATTTCTGTTTTTTTGTTTTAAAAGTTATAAACACCATTTATTAAGCTTCAAAATATATTTATAATTCAAATATTTGTTTACATTTTTTCCATATGTCGATGACACTAGTATTACTTACAACAACAAAAAATTCTTTGTGTTTGTTGTGTCGATTGTTGTACAACAACAATCGAGGAGTATGCATGTTCAGGATGGTGCAGTCGTCTCAATTCGTATTGGGCACGGATTGATGACCAGGTGCAGAATGCCTGCTCAGCATGTGGTACGGTGGTCATATAAACTGCTACAACAACAAAATGTGTGACTGAGTGTGTAATTTTTGAAAAATATAACAAAATATATTCGAAAATTGATTTGTTTGACGATGAATGTATGATTTGTGAATGAATCAATATATAAACTCGATTTTGGACAGAAAATCTGAGATTCCATTCATTTCACGCGTGTTTGGTAAAATGTTAAAAAATATGTCAAATGAACAGAACGACTTGTTGCATTTGCTATCATTTATTCTGACATTATTGCCCATAAGATAGAGTTGTATTTTCTCGTTTCTGACAGAAGCTACCCTGTATAATTGTACCATGCTATTATCCTTGAAGAAAAAGATTATTAACAGACATTGGGCGACTTCGACTTTCAGACCAAGGTCTATTAATAAGGTTATCCAGGAAGACTAGCTGTAAATCAGATGCTACTTCACATTATAATTATTATTATTTTGAATATACTCCACATTTAAGTTGAGAAATAAAGGGCTAAGCAGAATGCTCGCGTTGAGCCATCCGTTGCGTTATGTGTTATCGAAAATACAATAACCACAAGCATGGCCTATAAATAAGGTCACCAAGGGAGACCAGCTGATTATCGATACCTCTCAAGTTTGCTGTCAAAATGCATTATTGTGAATTGACTTCCATTATGAAAACGTAAACAAAGTGGAAATTTTTGACATTAGACTTGAGAAAAAACAGCTGTTTTCCGATTTCGATTGCTATCTTGATGACCATATTAATAGATCTTGACCACAAGGAAACGATAACACAAAACGCTCGAAGTTGTTGTGCGCTGCGCTTCGGAGTTAAATATATTTTAACTTTTTGCGTGAGTTAACGCGATATCAAAAAACGCCCAACGCGAACATTCTGTTTAGCCCTTAACAGCTGTTTTCTGATTTCGATTACTACTTGGTTTACCTTATTAATAGACCTTGATATTTGTCAATACAAAAATCGATTAATCAATTCATCGAAAGTCGACTTAACTCTCCCTAATCAAAATCATGAATTAAATCCCTGAGAATGTATTTTTGTTTATTATCCGATATAAATTGAAAACGGGGAATAACTCGAACTCGGGAAAGTCGCAAACGACTTCATGTGCAGTGACTAATATTGTTGTTACTTTTTCAAGGTGTCGAGACGAGACCGTAAGTATTCAGGGTCAGTGAATATTTGTTGGAGTGTTTACCTTATAATACGAGATTTACAGTGTAATTTGAGCAATTTCTGTCTGTCATGGCCACATATAAGGCGTAGATGAATAGATTTGCTAGAATTATTGCGACAGTAATTTCCTGATTGTACATTATCATCAACATCATCATCCCCTGCACCCTTGTATTCGTATTCACACAATGTGTGAACTGTATTCGAAAAAACACACTGAAGGTATTCATTGCGATGTAGAATACCCTGCCCGCCACAACCTGTACCACCCTCCTATCTTCCTCTGGTTTATCAATTTTTGTTTGATATATCTATGTTTTATTTGTTATTTTGTTTCTTCTATTCCCCTATAGTCTACCCACACCCCCAACCTTTTCAAAAGACAACACTGAGTCACAGTGGACGATGGATGGCTGTACAATTTCGAAATATGCTGTTGTAAATCGATTGACTAAGCTACGATTACATTATAGTACTGATGTCCCTCCCGAGAAGGGTGGCGATAGTAATGGTTGCAGTGATGAAATCACTGTTCCTGCCGGAACGTTAATAAAAATTTTTCAATGGAAAGGATCAGCATCTGTGGGTTCAAAAGTGTATAGTACTGTCCAAGTTCTAGATTTAATTACCCAGCTGCCGATATACGAAAACCTATACGAATGTCCCCAGACAAATCTTACTAAAGTGGCTGAAAGCCTCTGGCCATACATTATAAGTATCGTTGATCCCGACGAACGTTTACGAATGATAAAGGATGCAAATCATTGTAAATGGGTAACATATATAAAGGACAACGATTTTGTAAGTGTGAAGGGCGAAATGTTTTCAAATAGTGCACAACAATTTGACTGTATTGTTCGGTATATTGGACCGGTTCGAGAATTGCATCCTGTGGGATATTTCTTTGCATTGGAATTACTGGTATGCATATTATTTTATTTGTTCTGCATATAATTTAGAGGAAAAATTTTCAACGCAATCGTTTTTAAGCTTTATTACACTCTCAAATATTGAGTGTGGGGATCATCTCAGACGTTTGCCACATGTAAGTCTTGTCTCCCTAATAACGAAAATATATGGCTTTCATGGTGCAAGTCCATACTTCTCGAGATATGGGCCTGTGAAGATCCGTAATTCAAATGCTCACAGCTTCGTCATTTATGTGCTGTTGAAGGCTATATTGGCGGATATTTAGAAAAATCAAGTATATTTAATAGAAATGTTCGATCGCGTAGCAGAATTTTCCGCCTGTCCATAGGAGAAAGTTTTAAAATAATACGGCTATTTAGGAGCATTTTATTTAAAAAAATGGAAAATAGGGAAATGTGAAAATAGAATGTGGTCGCTTTACATCCATACCTATATCACAATTTTTTAGGTCCCAACTTTCAGTTGTGGTTTATTTAAATTTATAACGAACTTGCTATACATATACTTAATCACAATTCTTACAAAAGTTCAATTTTACGCTAAGGCTAACAATCTTTATCAAAAAATTTCAGTTTTTATGTTGTTTTTCATGAATGATCTCCCACATCTAATGTCATGAACCACTTTTATTAGAGGAACTGCGGGTAATGTAGACTACAATTTCATTTTTTGATATTGTCGGTATAACAACGGAAAAAATAAATAAATAAAATAAAAGCAAATAAACCCAACATAGTCTGGGTTTATACATGCAACTTTGCTTAAGCAACTCTGCTGATGCTCTCTTCGATTCTATTTTGGATTTCTTTCCCCCTGTCACTTTTTATACCTCTCACTTCTAAGAGCTCAGCAGAGTTGCTTACTAAAGTTGCATGTATAAACCCAGACATAGTAGTCTAAATATATTGCAGTTCAAACATTATAAATTTGTCTTTAAAAATGTTATTGCATTATATTAAAAAAACTCAACACTGGGAAATAAAAAAATATGGCGGGAAGTGCGGAGCAGTATGTGCGGGTAATGTGGGCAAGTAAGCTAAAAAGCAGGTTGAGGATTGTCTGTGATAAATTTCTATTTACTTCAATTTTGGGTAACAACGAATGCAAAAATATACGGGTTAGTGTTTTGGAATAACCCACATGTAAGTGTACTGCCTTCTTTGCCGTATTTTGAAGGTCCTGGCTTCGTTATCCGAGCGGAAAAGCTGTAATTTCGTATATAGAGTTTTCAAAGGGTAGAATACTTCCTCGCATCTTTACCATTCGGATCTTTATTTTTTATACAATTGCTTACTTTCCCAATGTTAGTCTTGTCTCCCTAATAACGAAAATATATGGCTTTCATGGTGCAAGTCCATACTTCTCGAGATATGGGCCTGTGAAGATCCGTAATTCAAATGCTCACAGCTTCGTCATTTATGTGCTGTTGAAGGCTATATTGGCGGATATTTAGAAAAATCAAGTATATTTAATAGAAATGTTCGATCGCGTAGCAGAATTTTCCGCCTGTCCATAGGAGAAAGTTTTAAAATAATACGGCTATTTAGGAGCATTTTATTTAAAAAAATGGAAAATAGGGAAATGTGAAAATAGAATGTGGTCGCTTTACATCCATACCTATATCACAATTTTTTAGGTCCCAACTTTCAGTTGTGGTTTATTTAAATTTATAACGAACTTGCTATACATATACTTAATCACAATTCTTACAAAAGTTCAATTTTACGCTAAGGCTAACAATCTTTATCAAAAAATTTCAGTTTTTATGTTGTTTTTCATGAATGATCTCCCACATCTAATGTCATGAACCACTTTTATTAGAGGAACTGCGGGTAATGTAGACTACAATTTCATTTTTTGATATTGTCGGTATAACAACGGAAAAAATAAATAAATAAAATAAAAGCAAATAAACCCAACATAGTCTGGGTTTATACATGCAACTTTGCTTAAGCAACTCTGCTGATGCTCTCTTCGATTCTATTTTGGATTTCTTTCCCCCTGTCACTTTTTATACCTCTCACTTCTAAGAGCTCAGCAGAGTTGCTTACTAAAGTTGCATGTATAAACCCAGACATAGTAGTCTAAATATATTGCAGTTCAAACATTATAAATTTGTCTATAAAAATGTTATTGCATTATATTAAAAAAACTCAACACTGGGAAATAAAAAAATATGGCGGGAAGTGTGGAGCAGTATGTGCGGGTAATGTGGGCAAGTAAGCTAAAAAGCAGGTTGAGGATTGTCTGTGATAAATTTCTATTTACTTCAATTTTGGGTAACAACGAATGCAAAAATATACGGGTTAGTGTTTTGGAATAACCCACATGTAAGTGTACTGCCTTCTTTGCCGTATTTTGAAGGTCCTGGCTTCGTTATCCGAGCGGAAAAGCTGTAATTTCGTATATAGAGTTTTCAAAGGGTAGAATACTTCCTCGCATCTTTACCATTCGAATCTTTATTTTTTATACAATTGCTTACTTTCCCAATGTTAGGTTTACAGTATGAGTCGTTGCCAATTTAAATAGATTTTACAGATTTGTTTCAATTTTTTCTTCTGAAAATGGTTCTTCACGAAGTTGTTTTTTGTAGGCCCTTTGTAAAAACGCATGTTTTTCTGTGTTCAAAACATTTGTAACTTATTATATGTGTCAATAGTGAAAAAAAGTTTCATTTTTTATTAGTCGTTGCATAGAGGCATTTTCCACGACGGATATGGCCACATTACGTCAGATAAAATATTTTGGTAATCATCTGACCTTATAATTCCAGTGATTTTATAAATCAAATCAATTCCTTGTCCGAAAAACACCTCCATACCATAATACCTCCACCATGTTTTATCTTGGGTTCATACTTTCGCCTTTTGGCCTACACACCAGACACCTCAAATCGAACTGTGCAAATTAAATTTGATTGAACAGAAACGGGAATACATTTCCACTTCTGTAAACGATAGTTTATAACTTATAGTTAATAATAGTGACATATAGTTAATAATCGATTTGTTTGACTTGAACTGTATTAAGTTCAGCATACAATTATGGTAATTAAAAAATCTAAAAGAAAAAATAATATAATTAGTGTTTGTTTCTAACCTCTACGCTTGAAACTGTTTAATACTTTTTATTGATCTAGCAAAACTAACATCTCTAGAATTCATCCACGGATCAGCCCTGTATTTATTTGCTTCCCAACACTGGGAGCCAATGAAACAAGTGAATCCAAAAGAGAAAATATAGAGTCACATTTAGAATCCTTTCTAAAGAACATGTATGGACCAAAGTTTCCAATAAACGAACTTAAAACATTCCAACAGATAAAGGATCAGCATCAGCTGAAGAGGATCAGCATAATCTACCATAGAAGGACCACTGATTAGCTTATTGTCAATTAAGGACGTAGATAGGTCAAAATGTGTAGGACTAGAGTTATGGAAAATAGACGAATTGAAACGAGTCATACATATAGCGCGAAAAAAATTTCATGAACAAATCGCAGTTGAAGTCACCAAGATCCTAAAATCTCAGGAACAAGACATGTTTCAGAGATTGGTATAATGTTAAAAGTATTTTGTCCTACTAGGCTCTTTAGCTCATCTAATTTGGTAACAGGTCTCATCGTTCTGTAGTTTAAATTTGCAACATTTAAATTATCTTAAAATTAAAAGAGTTGTAATTTTAAATAAGAGCTGCCACTTAATAATAGACATAGATTATGATTGAAATGCATTAAAATATACTCGAAATTTAAAGGCGGGGAAGCAATTTAAAATTTGAGATATATAAAGTGAATTGAAGATTGAGTGACTTACTGACTGACTGACTTAGCGATTCATCAACGCCCAGACGAAACGGCTGAAGCTAGAATCTTGAAATTTGGGCTGAGGGTCACTCTTGGTCCAAAGTTGGTTTTGGTAATTCGTACTTGAACATCATAAAAAGTACTAAATGTGGTACCATTTGTATTTGGCGAACCGGTAGAGTTAGAACAAATTTGAAATGAGGATCACTAATGGAGTGTATAATAGATATATCAAAGGGTTTTTTGGACATTCGGAATTTTGTAAATTCGTATTAATGTGTTCTATATGGTACCCAATTTGGATTTGGGTTATTTAGTTATTTAGGAAGTTTTGGAAAATCCCGCTAGAGTGAACTAAACTTTGTACAATTGGAAATTTGTACTAAATGATGGATTTTTTTTTTCGAACGTTCCCACGCCTCACTTTCCCACCCCTGCCGACCAAGGGGGCGACCTCCCCTTTCGTAGGGATCGCGTACACACCATAATCCGCATCATGGTGGAATGTGAGAAGGGAATAGAAAACCAGCTACAGAATCTGCTCCAACAGCCAGTTTATTATTAAGTTGCACTACTCATTTAAAAATACAACTATATTAGATTTTATAAATTCAACATTCTTGCTAAAATCTACATTAGAGTACACAGAATTAAAATCAATACAAATTTTACTGAGTGGATCTCCCATAGAATAATTTGTGCGATGAAAATCTAAATGTAATAGTTGATAATATCTACTAGATCGAAAAGGAACATTTATTCTAATAGATGAAATTAGGAAATCAGAGGGTATATTACCATTTAATATTTTTAGTACCATCATAGTGTTCAACATAATACGTCTACTTTTTAATGTAGGTAACCGAATTAATTTTAACCTGCTAGTGTAAGAAGGCAACACAAAATCACTATTCCAATGTAAACCCCTCAGTGCAAAAAGTAAGAATTGTTTTTGCACTGATTCGATTTTATCGGAATATATTGCATATTGAGGATCCCATACAACAGAATCATATTCTAATATAGGTCTAACAAGAGACGTGTATAGTTGTTTTGTTATATAAGGATCCGAGAATTCTTTGGTGGATTTGGGTGAACCGATTGAGCTGGATTCTTGAAATTTGACGTTAGGATCAATGTTGGGGTGTAGGATTGGGCTTTGTAGAAAGTTTTGGAAATTCATACTATGGTGTTCTAAATTTGGTACAATATAAATTTTAGGTGAACCAATAGAGCTGGAAACCTTGAAAATTGGAAATAAGATTACTGTTGGAGTGAAGGATTGGGGTATGGATGTGGTTTTGGAAATTCATACATATGGGTACTAAATTTGGTACAATTTAAGTTTTTAGTGAACTGATAGAGCTGGGATCTTTAAATATGGAGTTAGGATCATTGTTAGGGTGTAGTATTGGGCTATGTAGAAAGTATAGGAAATTCTTAAATGTTTGCCAATAGGGCTGGAATCTTGAAAATTGATATTGGGACACTGTTGTGTGTAGGATATGGCTTCGTAGAAAGTTTTGCAAATTCGTACTAATGTGTACAAAATGGTAACAAATGTGGATTTGGGGTGAACCGATAGAGCTGGAACACTGAAATAAGGTTACTGTTGGAGTGTAAGATTTGGGTATGGATGTAGTTTTAGTACAATTTAAATTTTGGGTGAAGCAATACAGCTGTAATCCTGAAACTTGGAGTTAGGATCATTGTTGTGGTATAGGATTTGGGTATGTTGGAAGTTTTGGAAATTCGTATTAAATGATACCAAATTTGTATTTGATTGAAACGATAGGACTAGAATTTTGAAATTTGAAGTTGTGATACTGGTGTAGAATACTGGGGTGTAGAATTGTGATATGTAGAAAGTTTTGGAAATTCGTACTAATATGTACTAAATGATAGCAAATTTGGATTTAGGTGAACTGATAGAGCTGGAATCTTGACATGTGGAGTTAGAATCACTGCTGGGTGTTGGATTGGAGTATGTAAGAAGTTTTGGAAATGTCTACTAATGTGTACTAATGACACTAAATTTGGTACAATTTGGATTAAGAGATAGAGCTGGAATCCTGAAATTGAGCATTGTTACAGTAGGTAGTTATGGAAATTTATATTAATGTGTACTCCCTGGTACTTAATTTGGATTTGTGTGAAGCTATATTTGAAATTTAGATTTTATTCAAAATAAATATTACATTAGTACCAAGTCTAAAAATGACACCAAATTCAGGTAATGAAATGTCAATAATGGTCGGTATTGGGGTTTAAATACTTCCTACATTCGCTAACAAATTAGCCGGTATATGCTAGTTCATTATAAATACAGCTTTAAGCCAATCACCTAAACATATAAAATGTGAGATCAAAAAAGATTTAAGGGAACCCCCCCCATTCTCGATTTTTTTATTTTTATGATTTTAAATGAGCTGGTAAATGAATACGAATGCATGTTAAGGTTTGTAACTTGGCACATATATATTTGAAGATTTAAAAAGGAAGAAAAATAATTTACAAAAAAATTTTGTTGTTGTTTTTGTGATCAAAGAAATCTCTTTATTTTTGATGGCGGGCATGATAACTCCTCACTGGCTCTCGTATGAACTATTATTGACTTCGCGCAACAATTAACAAAATGTCGGAACATTGAACATTTTTTCTTTTGAAAAATCGCCTATTTTTGACCGCACAGAGAAACGTCCCAAAATTTGAAATCAATTGGGTTATTAGTTTTTGAGTTATCGTGGCCGCCATTCGCAAAAACGCTGTTTGAAGAAAAACGCGTTTAAAGTTTGAGAAGCCCTCTTGCTGTCACTTCATGCTAACAATTGTTGAGATTTTCACTTGAAAATTTATAGGGACATTCTTGAAATAGTGTAGGTTCAAATTAAGTCAAAATACAAAATTAAATTTTTTGAAAGCGAGAATGGGTGAGGTCCCCTTAAAACGTCGATCTGATCAAAAGAGTAGGATAATGAGACTGTAAAATGAATGCTTCATTGAGGTAATTAACTAAATTTAAATTGCGAGATAACTACATACAGGTTTACAAGAAACAAACGTATATAAGTGATGGACAAAAATCAGTTTTCCCTTGCTTCTTCTTTTTCCAGCATTTAGATAGTGGCCCGTCTCCTCAAGCGGACAAAATTCCATTTTGTGACGTTTATATGCAATGTGAGCCTCGACTTGCAATTTTTGCAACAGCCAATTGGATTACACCCATATCGAACGAAATTCAAAAGAAATTTTCTACACGTGAGTTTTTGACAGGAACATTTGAGAAATTGAAATCGGCTATTGGACCAAGTAGCGCCCTGACGGGAAGCATCGGCAGTCGGAGTACATCACCGAAGACAGAGAAAAAGGCCAAGAGCAAACAAAAGGAAGCATCAGCGACATTCTATCACAATTTGAGCGATAATACAACTGCCGCAGCAACGGGAATGGATTCCAAGAACGAAATTTCCAATGTGCTCCCAGCCGATAACGACGAATTCAAGCAGACCGTTGAAAATTACGAACGGAGCTTGGAGCGACGCAGTACCAACACCGTACAAACTCAAACACAGCCACAGTCTGGTATACTGAAGAACAAACGTAAGGATCAATCCAAACCATCGTCGATGTTGAATATGGGCGATCGAGACATTGTCGTTATTGACAACACCGACATAGACGAGTCTACGCGAAATGAAGGTGAAGTAATAGTATTGGACAAAACACGTCAAGAAGTTGATCTCGTTGAGTTGTTAGGTAGTGATTGGCCAAAAACAGCAGGCGACGCCGCTGCCATTCTTAACAAACCAAAATTGCAAAATTCCACCTTAACACGACAGTCATCCGTAGGCGGTGGAGGATGTAGCAATGGCGTTAGTAACACTGGCAACCAAAAACACAATCGCAATAAGTCATCAAACCCATTATCGCACATAGCTGGAGGCAATACGAAAAAAATGAATGATTTGTCGGTCTCATCGAACAAAAGTATTGATAGGAAGCCTCAAAGTAAGTATATAAATAATTTCAGAACATCGAACTATAAATATATAGTCGGCATATAAAGGGTTGAAGTATACGATACATGGTGTGAACAAAATTATTTTTGTTTGCAGTGCAGTTCAGTTCATTGACAGGCAGGGGGTACTATGTGCAAATTCTGATTCAAATTTGTTTCAAATTCATGGTGATGTTTGTTTATCCTTTACGATACTTCATAAAGTCCAAAGTACACGGAAACGAAATATATGGCAAAGCCAACCCACTAACGGGAGCACATGATTATCTGGAAATAAAAAGAACATGAGAAGTATTTTTGCTTGAGTTTCGTTACATACTAGATGTATTTCAATATTGTATACTAAAAATATCAAATACGAAGTAATACCAAATCATATATTCGGATATTCAATAAAAATACAGATTGGTTCGATTTAATATAAATGTTAAGATCATTTGTATCTATCTATTAATCCTGTAACTATCTATTTGAACACATCAACGATTTGTGGTTCACTAAAGGCCATGCTATAAAGATAATCATGAGTCTATTTTTGTTTTCAACTTCAGGCATTTCAAAATTTATTTTTACAAAGGAAATTTAAAAATTCTATGCTAGAAACACTGCTTGTTTGTCGACTGACCCTACGCAACGTTGTCCACATTCTACCCAGCAATGTCTTCCGCAAACAAATGGACCACTCAAGAGATAGGGAGAGAGAGAGAGAGTGAGTGAGCGGACGAGTGGCGCAACTCGCAACTGTTGCGAGAACATTTGAATTACTATTTTTAGAATCCCCTGTATTTTAGGAATAGCGCAAGTGATGTTGAAACTAATTTTTGTGTAATTTTTCTTTTTGTGAAATTAGTATTCATTTAAAACATTTATTTTTTCAATTCAAATTCGTAGTGAACGCGATAGAATAGCAGTGTTATAATAATATCGTTATTCCAAACATTATTATTTGAAATTTTTATGGTTTCTCTCTCTGTTAACAATATTGTCGTTATGATGAACCGATTATTCATTCATTGCATGTACATAGGATGTTCTCTGAGAGATTAGCCATGCTCTCATGAGATCCCAGAGTGCGTGCCGTATTGTTCCTGCCTATACTACATACCCCTTCTTTTGGACGTGACATTTGGCGTTTTAGTTGTTTGTTTAGATTGCAACGATTTCAGTACTTGTCGCTTCTTGCACGTCGGTTTCATTACTCATTGGTGGTTCTCAAGTTCTATATGTATTGTTTAAAATAAAACGCGGAAAATTTAACATTTTGGATATGGAAATAGGTCGTGCATCAACTGCCACACCCAGTGAGGCTTCACTGTATCACAACATACCATTGACCGTTTTAGAATTTTTCACCACATCTCCAATCGGAAGTCCCATTGAATATGGCTCATACTTTTCAGGTTATACATACATACTTACATATAAGAAACATTCCTACATAATTGTCTGTTTTGGTTTTGGTTACACTTTGTTCGATAAACATATCATTTACGTGTTACCCTCCTGTGTCTCACACTTTCAATAACTTTAGAATCGCACAAGCAAACCGAGCGCGATCGCAATTGTCACTCACCACAGATTCCCTATGAAAATAATGTTAGAATTGTAAATCAACCAATATATGCTAATACTCCAACTGATGATATGATCGATACAGATGGCTATGAAACATCAGCACTATTGCCAACTGTTTTGGATGCAAATTTTTCGGAAAGTTCGCCGCTGCCAGAAATTCCCGGAACTGGTCTCGGTGTTGGATCCATGGTCGAAGTTAACATTCCCGATGTAAGTGGTCACTTGTATGGAGTTATACGTTGGATTGGTGTACCTCCGGGCGTCAAATCTATTATGGTCGGTATCGAATTGGAGGAGGACTATATTGATAAACAGCTTTTAAGAACTGACGGTGGTTTTAATGGCATATCGTAAGTGTGCACACAATGATCGTATATAATATCCGAATAGAAATTATAAAACCCGATTTTGTTTCGCAATCTCTTCATAGCCTCTTCAAGTGTCCAGCCGGACGTGGGTTGTTCGTGGAATCTGATCAGTGTTCTAGTGATAGACGTTTCTCAGCCGAAGATGGAGCCGTCGGTAATGATGCAAGCGCTATTAACAACAACAACTACAAGACGAAACAACAGTATACAATACCAGACGAATCACATACATTTGGTCATATGGACTGTCCAATTGTGCCAGGGGCCGTTGCTCCAATAAGTAAGTTTGTTTGTTTATTTTCGAATATACACTATAAAGACCAATTTCCGCCATGAATATAAGTAAGAAAGACTTGCGATCAAAAAGTATCGCGAATTGTGCTCGTGTGTATTCATGAATATCTTCTCTTTCTTGTGCACACCAATATTTTTAGTGTGTTCAAGAAATATTTACAAATTTAATTTTTTTTAGTATTTTTCCATTTTTAAATTTGAAATGTTTTGTCAATTTTTGTGTAGGAGAACGCACGCACAATATGACAAAATGACTGAATACACGAATAACTAAAGAGTAGGCAAAATGCATTTTCATATAATAACTATGTTTTTTATGTGGTTCCGAAAAGCTAACTGTGTAGTTGCCATAGATGGATTAAATTCTACAATTGGCCATGTCACTTTTGGTTTACCGCAAGTTAGGTTTGGGAATTCCCGTCCCGATTTTTTGACACGGATATTCACGGCATTTCCTGATATAATTTCCCTGGAGATCGGGAAATAACGTTTATGAATAAATATACACATACACATAATGTTGGTATGTGTCGCAATTTTATGTTAAATATGGAATGTTTCAAATTAAAGGAATAAGCCATCCGTTGCATTATTTGTTATCGATAATACAGCAAACACAGGGGGCGGTAACCTCAACGAGTTGCACTTCGGACTAAACCCTTTGAGCCCCCAATTTTCTTTGCATTCGGAAGATACTGTATCTTCCTTCTGAAAATAAAAGTTCAATGTCAAGAAAAAGAAATGTAATATCGACTAAAATTACTTTTAATTATTCTGTATGTTTTTTTCTAAAGAATTAAAAATAATTTCGAGGGTACAATTTGTACATTTTAAATACGAAGCGATTTAAAAAAAATGTACTGTATACACAAGACTGTACTGTACATATTTTTGCACTCAACTCAAAGCGAAATAAGTTGAACAAACATCTGAAAATGTTAGATTTTTCTTTTGATATGTGTGCTTCATAATCATGTCTTAACATATGGGCATTTCCGACAAAAGGTAAACCAAAGTCGAAGAATTTGTTTTTTCGAACGTTCCCACGCCTCACTTTCCCACCCCTGCCGACCGAGGGGGCGACCTCCCCTTTCGTAGGGATCGCGTACACACCATAATCCGCATCATGGTAGAATGTGAGAAGGGAATAGAAAACCAGCTACAGAATCTACTCCAACAGCCAGTTTATTATTAAGTTGCACTACTCATTTAAAAATACAATTATATTAGATTTTATAAGTTCAACATTCTTGCTAAAATCTACATTAGAGTACACAGAATTAAAATCAATACAAATTTTACTGAGTGGATCTCCCATAGAATATTTTGTGCGATGAAAATCTACATATAATAGTTGATAATATCTACTAGATCGAAAAGGAACATTTATTTTAATAGATGAAATTAGAAAATCAGAGGGTATATTACCATTTAATATTTTTAGTACCATCATAGTGTTCAACATAATACGTCTACTTTAATGTAGGTAACCGAATTAATTTTAACCTGTTTCTTTAATTGTCCTTAAATACGTAAAGTAAAGGCAAAAAATACAAAGAAAGACCACATTTGTCATTTTTTCTTCTTGTCCTTAGTATAAATACTAATTTAATGACTATAAATGTAGACACTGCAGAAAAAATAATAATGCTTGATATCTCTTAATCATGTAAAGAATATTAAAAGTTCAAAATATTCACACACTTCCCATTATTAGCAATGATGTATAAAATCATGTATATTTAAAGTCGCGTGAGTGACCGCTCTTTTGTGGCTTTTATCTCAAAAGTTATAAACGGGAGGCTATCAATTTTTATTACCACTAATAGTACTTCTAAAGTTCTACAAAAATTGTTTCTAGCTCCAAAACATTTTGTTGCCTGTGGGCAACATTGGGTCACAAAGGGTTAAATAAATTGTAATTTTTTGTCCCCAATGTTGTGCTATAGGAATCCGGATGTCACGGATAATAAATAATTAAAGAAAGAAGCCTCGAATAATATAACAATTAGCAGCTGTTGCTAGGCTTTGATCAAAAACTCATAGAATTACCTAAAAATTAAACGGATGTGAAAAACCAAATATTAAAATACCATAATAGCATCAAACTAGAAATATTTAATGAAATTCGATTGGAAGTTTCAAAATAAGTCGGTTTACTCTTATGCTGAACGATCGGACCAGTATATTTGAATACTATGTTAACCCAATTGAAAAAAATTAATAAATTCGAAAAGTTTCATTTTCTTTTTTTGAAAATTTTTTTCACAATTTTTTAGATATTATCCTACCCAGACCATATAGCATTTCAAAATTGACCAAAATAACTAAAATCGGTACAGCCGTTCTTGAGTTATAAGCAGTGTATCTAACGACTTTTCCTTTTTATACATAGATAAGTTTTATAATTACTCGATTTTTATAGAATGCTTCAGCCTTAACGATTTGGAAGAACTATGTGGAAAGTTCAAGGGAATCCAAGGTCATCATAATTCATGTTATTTGGACGTTACCCTATTTTCTATGTTTGCATTTACGCCTGTGTTTGATGCCGTCCTTTATAGGCAGCCGGATAAAGAGGTAAGCGAAAAAAGATGCGTGTTCATAAACGTTTTTTGTTTACAATTTGCATGTGCGCTTTTTCTAAAGGATATAAGTCATTATACGGAAGTCCAGACAGTGTTAAGAGAGGAAATTGTTAATCCACTGCGCAAACACATGTTCGTTCGTGCTGATCGAGTTATGAAATTACGACAATTACTGGATAAACTTAGCAGTGTCAGTGGGTTGACGAGCGAAGAAAAAGATCCCGAAGAATTTCTGAACTGTTTATTGGCGCAAATTTTAAGAGCTGAACCGTTTCTTAAGGTATTTCATAAGTGAAATATTGTAATTTAAATATATATGCATATAAGTGAGTAATACTAATTGTAAACGTGTTCTATTTAGTTGAATTCCGAACAAGATGCCTACTACTATCAATTGTTTGTAGAGAAGGACGATCGTTTATCATTTCCCAGTGTACAGCAATTATTCGAGCAGAGTTTCTACACTTCAGATATAAAATTGAAGGAAGTACCATCCTGTCTTATAATCCAGATGCCCAGATTTGGCAAAAACTACAAAATGTATCCACGCATTTTACCATCACAAGTATTAGATGTAACAGATATTATTGAAGATTGTAAGTATATTTTAATTGTCAATGCTCGGTTTATATTTTTTGTGAACATCCGTTTCGTTTAGTGATACATATCTTCGCAGGATTAGGTCGATTTAAGAATCGTGATTAAATGTCAATTTTTACAATTTTGACGTCAAACAGTTGCAGAACGTTCGTGAAGGAGTAACACAATGAACCAATTTCTGATGTAAAAAATACTTATTCACATACTTGGCTATTTTTTGCAGTTTTGCTAATAATAAGTTGAATAAACTCCGAAGGAAAATCCAAAAGATATGTTAGTGAGTGAGGTTACAAATTTAATTTGAAGGTCAAAGTCAAAGTGGTCCAATGATTTGCAGGATGAACCTTGGTAATTGTTTACAACATCTGCGACTACATAAGTATGGACGTCAGCTACCTAAAAAATCTGCCTAGTTGTGGCCTAATTTCGAGCGCTAATCGGATCATTGTCCGTTCAAGTAATTAAATTTCCATTCGAGATTGACGATCGCAAAATTAGTGAAGATGTGGGACTGCAGACTTTGAACACAGGAATCAGATCGTCTTGATCTGAAATAATAATAATATATACATATTCACGTTTCTCTTCTGCTGTTCTACGGTGAAAGTGTGACATTTTTAAAATATGTACATATTGTAATATGACGTAATTTATGCATTGGGATATGTTACTGCTAATGGGACTTATATATATTATTTTAATAATACCTATAATGTAAATAAAGGCTGGGAACCAATTCAATTAGATTTAAGATTTTAGAATTACAATTCAGGTTATGTTTTGCAATTATGTATGGCCATATGAATAAATAAATAAAAAATATTCCATCTATCTACCTTTTAGCTCCTCGGCAATGTTCTGTTTGCGGTAAATTGGCTGAATTTGAATGTCGTGACTGCTTTGGTGTTCTACAGAGCGGTGTCGGGTTAGAAAGTACATCCTTCTGCCCAAAGTGCCTTGAGACTGTTCATATGCACGTCAAAAGGTAACTATTACACACAAAGATATTTACATATTGATGGGATTTAATGGATATTCTAAAATACTATAATGCAGGAGGAAACACAAACATCGCAAATTATCAGTGCCTCAAGATTTTCGAGTTATGGCTGATCATATGACAGTACCACGACTGTATATGGAATTATTTGCTGTTGTTTGTATTGAAACATCCCATTATGTGACTTTTGTGAAGGCTGGCTCAGGGCCTGATGCTCCATGGTGTTTTTTCGATTCTATGGCTGATAGAAAAGGTAATAACAAAATAATACCGACATCTCTCAATCACTCAGTATTCTTTTCGTTGGCAATTCATTCATACAGGGGAACAGAACGGATACAATATACCAGAAATGATAACAGTGCCTGATTTACCTCAATGGCTTTCCGAAGAAGGATCTCGCATCGTTAATGAGACATCTTCCAATGACAAAATGCTCCCCGAACATGCCAAACGTCTGTTTTGCGATGCCTATATGTGCATGTATCAGAGTACCGATGTTATGATGTATCGCTAATGAATTTCTTGTTTTATATTTATAATTTTCATTGTTGACACAGTAGTTATTTTGTCTGTAAGTTTACGATTGCATTATTCAAATGGAAAACAAATTGTATTTGTTTTAAATAAACATAGCTTTCTGTATTGAATTCTAATGAAATACTAATAAATAAGAAATTATCTTAAAATGAACTTAATTGTACGGCATTACATGTTAAATGGGTCAGGTCAGTCTTACCAACAATTTGACACGATCATCTCAGAATTGAAACATGCGAGGATTTTAATACCCGATGACATCATGAAATGAATTTTTTCAACTTTGAAAATTCGTACGTATTTCGGTAACATTCATATAAATACATCGACGCCTTCGAACCATAGTATGCTAAGTCTGAAAAGTGAGTTTTTCAGTAGAAGCTTTCAAAGTTCGGAAGTTCCTTTAATTTCGGTAACATTCATATAAATACATCGACGCCTCCGAACCATAGTATGCTAAGTCTGAAAAGTGAGTTTTTCAGTAGAAGCTTTCAAAGTTCGGAAGTTCCTTTAATCGTACGTGCCATCAGAGATGGCCTGTCAGAAACAGTGACGTAAATGACATACATTTCCGACGTATAATACATACGTCAGAAACGTCGGAAACCTACCCAAATCCATTAGGTTTTTGACAAAATAGCTATTTCCTTTAATCAATTTGGAAATTACGCATGCTTTACTCAAATCCATAAAAAAATTGAAAATTTTCTTCTCAAAAAAATTTAGAAATTTTTATCAGTTCTAGCAAGGAATAGTCAGATATATGTAAAAATAATATATATTCTTGAAAATAACCTTATTTGCTGATAATATTGAAATAAACGACGTTTACTACATTTATTACATTTTATACAGGTATATGACGTTATCGACGTTTACACCTTTTTGACTGTCGAAAACCTAAAAATTCGTCACACGGACCATCCCTGCGTGCCATGCTAAGTACATTTTTGCTTATAACTTTGGTTTGGATTGGCCGATGATTACCAAAATTTCAGTGAATGTAAATTAAGGACCGTAGTATCTAAAAACGTAAAGAACTTTAAAACATGCTAAGTCGACTTAGTGTACTATGGTTCGGAGGCGTCGACATGTGTTCTACCAAGGTGTATTTAATAAGGTGTATGCATCAGCTACAACAACTAACATTTTACAAAAACAACATTGCTGTTATAGAAATTAAATTGTCATGTTGACAATTAGTTTTTGGCAAAAATAAACAAAAACAAATATCTATTTATGTTTATTAATTCTTTAATGAATAATTTGTATATTCTTGGATTTTTGGCAATTTTAGGTTAGGGAGTAAAGTTTAAGACCCGGTCACGAATTATTTTGAAATGTTTCCAACGTGTAGCCCTTGGTTCCTGGTGATGTTGCTTATATTGTAAATTACAATTTTTTTCGAAGAATTACTTTCAAATTTCGCCTCCTTAATGAAAGTTTGGTGGACATAAATCCCCGGCCAAAGACTAAATCAAGGAACTTGTGTTGCCCTTGTGCAATCTGGCTATAGGAGTATATCAAAGACTTACACCTTTGGATTGATTTTTGGAGATACCAATAGGCAGATTTCAACACGGGATAAAAAACATAAACTATTTGGATCAAATCAGCGAACGGTTTTAAAACTGATTTAAGCCCTTTCGGTCCGTCTCTATGAACATATTTTTTATCAAAATCCTAAATTTAAAGACAATTTTGTAAATCGTAATTAATTGTTGAAAATGTTTTTGACAATTTACTTTACAAACAATAAAGAAAAAAGTTTAAAACCATATGATTGTCACTTACACATTATTTAATACACCTTGTGTTCTACTTTTGTGGTGAAAAACGTCGAACGAGCTAGTTAAATTTTAGGTAGGCCCAAGGTAGATGTATTAGGTAGTCGCATCGACCCAGTTGATTCTAACATTGAATGTCAAAACAAATTGCTTTAATTTTTAATTCGCCTTAAAAAATTAATTAATTTTAACAGGAATTTTATATGAGGGCTACATCAGGGATGGTCCGTGTGACGAATTTTTTGGTTTTCGACTGTCAAAAAGGTGTAAACGTCGAAAACGTCATATACCTGTATAAAATGTAATAAATTTAGTAAACGTCATTTATTTCAATATTATCAGCATATACAGTTATTTTCAAGAATACATATTATTTTTACATATATCTCACTATACCTTGCTAGAACTAATAAAAATTACTAAATTTTTTTGAGAAGAAAATTTGTGAAATGAAATTTTATATTAATTTGAGTTAAGCATGCGTATTATCCAGATTTGTGAAAACCCTAATGGATTTGGGTAGTTTTCCGACGTTTCTGACGTATGTATTATACGTCGGAAATGTATGTCATTTACGTCACAGTTTCTGACAGGCCATCTCTGGGCTACATCAAAACTGGAAAGATTTTCGTGAAAGGTGTTTTAATTTACAAAAAATGATTCAACCAATCATAACAAAATGTTCGTATACCCTACACATCTATGGTAAAAGTATGCATTGTCTCAAGAGTTTGTAGATGCACGACAAGCTACAAGAAATGAGGCTGAACGAAAGGGCTGTGACAAATGGAATATACACTCCACTTTATGATGGAGGGAGTAAAACATTTGACACTATTGGTCTGTCCCCGTACTGCAAGAATCTACTACTTTTTACTACGATAACGAATTTTTCTTTATGATATCGAAGAAAATAGTAAAATCGAGTAGATTCTTGCTGTACGGGAACATACCAAATGCCTATTGTCATCATTTGTGACATCTTTGAACTTTAATACAATTGCAGCCTTTAATCTATATCTTTAGAACATACAATTCAATTTAGCGATTTTTCAAATAAAATCTATTTGACGCCCTAAATATTGAACGATTATTATGAAAACAGTTATATTCGCCCATGTGACATGTTCCGAGAGTTTTGGAATTCCCATACTTTTTTAAATTCCCATGTTGTGCAAAATGGTGTGCTCAATTTTGAGCGAAAGTGCGGCTCGAAAGCATAGCTGTGTTCAATATGTCACGAAATGTGTTCAATAAAAACATATGTTTCATTGGAATTTGCAATTTGTTTAACAACAAAATTAAAAAAAAAATATGCCTGCTGGCTTATTAATTGCCCTGGTTTCTACCAGAAAAAGTCTAATGATACTGGAACGTGTTAAAATAAGCATTTATGGATATTTTGAGAGAAGTTGGTCCTTTCATACACAAGGGTACTATTCCCGAAAGCCTGCAGTTAGCAGCAAAGATTTCGGCTGTTGGTGGGTTTCAGAGGGTAGTGGCAAATGATTTCAATATAAGTGTTGATCGCACAACAATGTGTAAAATATTGTGTAGAGTAATGAAAGTCCTGGAAGACAAAGTGTGTGCAAGCTGCGGACAGCTGCAGACCAGAATCCAGCCATGATGCTTTTATTTGGCATATGAGTGCAGCTAGGCAGCATTAACAAAAGAGGAAATGGTATGCAAAATAGTTGGCTTCTAGGAGACAGTGGTTACGCTTTAGAAATATTTTTGATGACGCCCTATAAACAAGTGGAGCATGGATCTTGTCAACATCGATGTAATAAAGGGCGCACATCTGCAAGAAACTTTATTAAAAGGATTGTTGGAAATCTTAAAAGTAGATTTTTTATAGATTCCATTTTTATTTTGATCATATGGTGGTTGAGTTTCCAGATTGATCTCTAAAATGTTACGCGCTGTTTTGGATAAAATGAACCCTTTTTTATTTTCTTTCATTTTACTATAAAAACTAATGTAAATACTTTATTTTTTAAATAAATATTGTAAAAACACGTTAAATATTACTTCAGTGTTCTTTTTTAACCTGTACGTGCTCAGAAAAACACGTACGATCTCATTTCGTTTTCAATCCACAAGGCTATATAGCCTAGATAATCAGATTACAAATTATAATGGACAGACGGACAGATGATAAACGATATACAAAAATTTGAGTCTAGGAGTAGTGCTACAAATTCTTGAGGCAACACATAGTTTTAACATAGATGTGTTGGGTATTAAAACATTTTGTTCTGATTGGTTGAATTAAATTTGCCTAAATTTTGAAATATCAAGGAGAATTAAATTTTATTTGCCTTGTTTAGAAATTTTTACATATTATGTTACCAAAAAATTGCTTTGTTGTAGTAATTCGCCGATCCGATAGAATATGTCATCCTTTTTTTATGTTTTTAAAAATTACCCAACAGGAAAATTTGCTACGTACAAATTTTTACATTTTTCTTTATTAAATGTCCTCCTGTATTCATTTTATTCAATCTGCCTGCTGGGAAAGTTTGAAGCAGTAAATATTATTCATAGAATAATTCGCAATTTCCAGCATATTCATATGCATTTCCCATATAACTGCTAATGACTCAATTAGAAGAAAGATGTGGAACCGATAGAAATGAAAATTTAATAGATTTTCATTCATGTTTTTATTATTATTATTTTGAGGATTTCAAAATAATTATAATTTGTTTGTTTACATTTTTCTGTCAAATGACGTTGACACTAGTATAACTTACAATACTTGATTTGAAGTATTGCCATATAATTTGGGCATATTTACTAGATTGGCGTTCCCGAACTTTTCAAATTATTTTGTACTCTGAGAGCAATTTTGAAATGTTTCTCTTTTACTAAAGAAAAACTAGGGATCTTACGCGGTTACTGTCCGCGGAGTGATAGCACTTCTGTATTGTTTGTGGTGCATTTACACACTGATTTATTAATAAAAAAGTGAATCTTAAGAACTAAGTATTACAATCTGACTTAACCTATCTTAGACTAATGTGTAAAAGAGAGAGAGAGAGTGCATCTGCCATAACACATGGAGTGGACACACACATTTCTTTATCTCACATGTGGCAAGCACGCTACACATGCTTATCAGTCTGTAGTGAAGATTACTCCCCGTAATCTCACCCAAACGTACCACATGGGGCAATAGAAAACTCCTATCTTATTGTAGTGTACAAACATTAAA